AGCTTTTGATCACTGACTTGATAAATTAGGTTTGAGTCTCTTGAAACCATGTTGAATCATTTTCTTTGGCTTAGATAAGAATGCTTTAATATTGTTCAAAAGGGAAGGTGGCATGTTCAAAGTGAAATTACAGGTGATTTTTCAAGGTAAGTGCTACTGGTTCTGTGGAAACTTGAAGAGGAATTCAGATGCTGAGAGAGCATTAATGGAATTTGTTCTGTGCGTAGCCTTTTCCCTCCTTTTCTCCTGTAAAACCCTAATCTAATTGATAAACAATACTTTCAAACTTGACTTGATACTTAGGCCAAGATAAGGACAGTGCTGTAGTTGCATACTATCTCCAGTCTTAACACACTATGTTTTGTTGATCAGTTTTCAGTATTTATACATAGCTATTGTTTTCTAATAAAATATGGTGATTATTTAAGAATTAGTGCTTTTATCTAGGATGTTATGGGGTGTGGGCCATGTACAATTAGGTATTACCACTAGGCCCCAGATTCTGCAAAATCATTGCTTGGAGGTTATTTTCAGGTTATTGGCATAGACTGTCATGCAGAAGTTTGGATTGGCTCTCTTTTTGCATTAAAATTTGTGCTTAGATAGTAAGGACTTTCTGAGCCAAATACATATATTTGCTTTTGATGAAAAGTATTGTGTTATCAACATAAGTTTAAGAGTCTGCTATTTTTTGCAGTTTCTAAAAGCACAGACTTAACGGCTGCCTTAGGCATGTCAAAAATTTCTTTCTTCAGAAACTTTTTGAGTCTTTTAGGATTTTTTTCTATCCATCCTTCTAACAGTTTCAGAACAAATAGAAGGCACAGGCCTGTAATGTCAGCAGTGCTTGGGAGGTAGAAGCAGGAGGATCTGGAGTTCATCAGGGTCATCCTCAGCTATATAGTGACTTTGAAGCAATTCTGAGCCAATGGAGAACCTGTTTCCAAAAACTAGTCATTTAACCATTTGAGCATTGAACTTTCTTTCTGTAGCAAGATGTTTTTTTGCTGATCTCATTCCAATTATTAAACTACTCCCTTCAGCTTGATGTGTTTGTCTAAGTAGAATCTTTTTTTTTTTTTTTTAATCTTTTTGAGACAGGGTCTCCCTGTAGCCCCAGCTGTCCTGGAACTCACTATGTAGACCAGGCTGGCCTTGAACTCACCAAGATCTGCCTGCCTCTGCCTCCCGAGTGCTGGGATTAAAGGCGTGCACCACCATGCCTAGCTTGGGTTTTGTTTCTTAAGCCATTTAACTAGCCTGTGTCTTTTGATTAGAGAATCGAGGCAGTTAACGTTTAACATTATCATTGAAAGATATGCATTAATATTATTGTCATTTTATTTTCTGTTAATTTTCTTAGTCTTATTTTGTTTTCCATAATATGTTCATTTGTTTTCTTTCCAAAGCCTCTTGGGTATGGTTATTTTTTTCTTCAGTCCTTTGTATTGCTTTGAGTATTCTCTATACAGCTGGTTTGGTGGACATGAATTCTTTCAACCTATATCTTAAAATATTTTTTTATTTACTACTTTTATTTTATGTGTATGTGTGTATTGCATGCATGTATATAAGCACACCATGTCATGCAATGCCCATGGAGAATGAACCTGGAGTTATGAACAGTCATTAGCTGCCATGTGGGTGCTGGGATTCGAACCTGGGTCTTCTGCAAGAACAGCCAGTGCTCTTAACTGCTGAGCTCTCTCCAGTCCCTCTTTCAACCTATTTGTATCATGAATAATTTTTCTTTCTCCTTCGATTATGATAGACAGTTTTTCTGGATAAAGTACTCTGGGTTGGCATCTGTGGTCATTGCTCCAGGCTCTTCTCTATTTATTTATTTATTTATTTATTTATTTATTTATTTATTTATTTATTTATTTATTTATTTATTATTTGAGACAGGGTCTCTCTGTAGCTCCAGCTAGCTTGTAACTTGCTATGTAGACCAGACTGGCCTTGAACTCACAGAGATCTGCCTGCTTCTGCCTCCTGAGTGCTGA